GATACTTATATAATTCCTTGAAATCTGTGATAAACATTGCCCAGTCGTGTTGATGTGTACAGTAAGTTGACGCAATCGTCAGAAATATTTATCACTATGAAGGAGTTGAACTATTCAGCTACGCAGTGATGTGAAACAGTGGTCTTACAATATACAGGGGAGGGGGCAAAAAAGTCACTCTCACTCACATTCAAAACAGAATTAATTACACTTTGCCAAACCAAACCGAATGAGCTCAATTGCATATTGAAGAGCACATTCTATTCTATCAAAAAATTACATAGGGGCCTTCTACACCGACGACATCAGAAGATTTTCCCACGGAAACATGGTTCACGGTACGAGCTCAACGAGGTCGTCGAGAAACCATAGACGATTACGACGTCTCTGAAACGCTGGTCAAAAGCCATTTTGCATAGTCAGAGCTAGTGTCCCTAAGAAGCCATTCACCAGTTATCCGATTGAAGAAATTATGTAGCAGCTTCAGAATGGAGCGATTACGGTAGGCCTCCTTGAGCTCGACGGTGATGACAGATGACGTCATATTCTGAGACGGTGAAGGCAGCGAAGGTGGGCCTGATTCTGCTTATGGGGGGACATCTAAGGAATATTCGCCGTATAACTCCCAATAACAGCGGCATCCTTTGCGACGAAAAGTTTGATGATATGCGCCATGGGCAAAGTGACTCTTTTTTGCCTTCCCCCCCCCCCCCCCCTGTGTAGCGACTTACAAATTTAGAGGTGATCGTGAGGTGTTGCTTCCTGTTACTTATCTGTGTCGGACAAGGTTGATCGTTGGATTCTTCATTAATGGTCCGACGTTTAGAGCATTTGTATTCCTTAGAGGCCTGATATGCCACGAAAATTTTGACTTTGTGAGCCACCCGACCAGCATCATCTCTTCTGAAGGAATTTACACGGAAAAATATGATTCTATTTCAGCCATAAATCACTGGCTTGAGACTCATCATCCACGATAAGAATGAAAAGAACAGAAAAATTGCATTTGTTTTGGTAAAAAAATTCGAAAAACCGAAAGGGCTGCTACGCGTTCAAATTACCGCCGGACATCTGTCACAAATGCTGGCGACGGGGATGCTTCCACTTGGTTCTTGGAGTGCCTTCACTAGAAACTCTTTCTGGCCTTTTGACTTATTGCATTCACATCTCACACTTCTACTCCATCCTATTCTATCGATCGATTTGTCTCTACTCTCCAAAATCGCACGCTTTAACCCGATTCTTTCATTGCGTCGCCTGATACGTAGCGCCCCAAGCGGACTTATTCCATGCCCCGCCTTTGGCTCCGCCCGAATTACCTTCGATTGTCCATAGAGTGGATTTTCGTGAGTTTGTTTCTCTTCGGAAACCGAATCTTCATGCGTGAAACTTTGTGTGCTGCATTCCAGTGATCACAACTGATACATTCATGTTGAGAAAGAATGCAAGAATTTTCCGCGAAGGATTCCTTCAAGCGTTTCCGAGGTCGCGCTGAGAAGCGCTCCGAGATCACCCGGTATGATGGGGAACGTATCAAAGGTTCCACCACTGTAGTGGAGCACTCCTTAGCTCCCCCTATTAGTTCTGTTAACATAGGTCTCACTCGAGTCCCACGATGTCTTATACAGTGCGTTTCATAACTATAAGGTCACCCTAAAATTTTGCATTTCCGGAAAAAAGCAGCAGATCGGGAATTTTTCTAGTATCACCAGCTGATTCCTCACTATGAATAACCCCTGTATCGCAATTTGGCGGGAGCAGCTTTTCTTCTAACTTTTTATAATTATTTTTCGGTTTTTGCACCGTTTCATAATTATAAGGTCACCCTGAGAAAAAGAATAATAACCTAAGATTAATGACCGACCTGGAAATACAGTAATCTATGGTGACTCCTTTATTAAGTGGACGTCAAACAGCCTCTTAGGCCTACTGGGTTGATTCTGAAGCAGCTGACCGTCAATTCACTTCCGTGTTCAGGGGTTGCTTGTATCAGCTCTTGTGTAATTCCTAAGAGGCGCAGTATACGCATA